TCTAGCATGCACATAGCGAAATCAGTTGGATGCTGGAATCTTTTTGCTATGCAAAGCAAAAATTTCACTCTAAGCATACATGTTTTAAATTCAAAGAAATAAATACTTGTATGTATAATAACAAAATTGGGACCTGAAAAGCTGTTCACTATGTGTGTGCTTTTATGTGTGTGTCCAGCTGTGTGCGCGTTTGCTATTGGCGCGTTCCCTTTAGAAACACAAATCTGTGTGCTCACAGTGTGCAAGCTAGACTGTACTAGAAAAGGACTCAAGAATGCTTAGAAATTGTTAGAAATAGATTCAGGCCTAATATTCTCAACTGTCAAATTATTCCACAACAGATTCAATACTGTGAAAAGGAAATTCACAACAATACATAACAAAATCATTATTTTAATTTCAAAGTCAAAGACTTTATATATGGCCAATGTTTAGAAAGGAATCTTACAACATTTGGATTTCAATACCTGGGCCTTAAATTGCTTTTAAAGCAAATAATCTTTTCTGCCCATCCTGTCGTCCACGCCCCATTACTTCTCCTTCCAAATGTGATACACTAACAAAAAAAAGTAACAGCAAACATTATATTCTCAAGCATGTAAAGTTTTCAACACTTTTCATCAGATATCACACTTCCTTCACATCATGCCACTAGTTACAAAACGTAATGAAACATTGAATTTTCAGTCACTAGTGAGTAAAATAGAATGTAAGAAAGCTTTGAGAAGCCTATACCGTAACATTCACAAGAAAAATGAGCAACTCCCTTTGACCCTTGATAACATGGCGAGCAAGTAACAATATGGTTGATCATTTTCCTTGCGACAGAAATGATACACAAGATAGTCAAATCAATCTTTAAAAGACTACGAAATAAAGACGAAAAAAACGAACATTTTTTTCAATTAATAGGCCTATAGATTATGGGTAGATCTAGTAAACAATATCAAATGAAACAATTTTTGCAAAGTAAAATTTTAAATCATCAGAAACAAAAAGGAAAGAGAGCAAAATCTGCTTAATACTACTACAAAGTCAAAAGGTGGTAAATGTGAAATAAGGTGAAAAAAGAAGTGTAACTAGAGAAGGTGGACTTAATATTCATTCAAAACACAATGAAAACATTCCAATCTGATAAAATATCAAAGGCACTGAACTTCCTTCTGTATCTAGAAATCAGTATTTAGGCCTAAATCAAAGAATGTGCAGACTGAGAAAAACACCTGACAAACATCACAGACAAAATATTACTCAATTGTCTCCGCATACAAATGCGGTCACCGGGTGAAGAGAAAAAGATGCTTCTTTAGCCGAGTTTTTAAAAAAAGGAAAAATTTCAAGGGGTGTATCTCAGCTTAAGGCCGGTCCCAGAGTGGCTCTGTAGGTCTGACCTGTAGCTCACCTGGCTCGCACTGTGCAAATGAATGTATACATTATCGTGTGCTAAAGCAGCGTCGCCGTGTCGTCTGTTTTTTGTCAGCTGAGCTGCGCGATGCGTCTGTAAAAATGGCGGACATGTGTCGCCTCGCTTCGTGTTTATTTTCGACTGAAACTCTTCACAGATCATCAAAATCAACAAGAAGTAAGTATTATTAGGTGCTTTACTATTAAATATTGATGCTAGCATCAACACTTGGCCACAAAATCACCCAGAAATGCACTTTATCATACTTTGAAACTTCGAATCGAGAGGTTGACCTAGTTTCGACTGTTGTCGTAGGCCTAGGCCCAGATCTAGGTGTGCTTCTCAGATTCTAGTTCTAGATCTAGATCTAGCCTTGCATTGCCAATGTAAACTATCGCCGCGCGCAGCTACAAGTGTGTTTGAGTGTGTGTGTGTGTGTGTGGGGGGGGGGGGGGGGGGGGGCTGCACTTGGCGCATGACATAAAGAAGAGTTGTCCCATCTTGGTATAATTGGTCTTGGATTACACAGTACCTAAATATAGCAAGGCAGACCTGTCAGTTGCACACCTACACACGTCAACACACAGTGCGGCTGTGCTGAGACGCAGGGAGTGTGCCTTGCGCTCGCTGAGACACAGGCGCCAACCCACAGTGCGGCTGTGCTGACACGCACACAGCGTGCGCCAGGCGAGCTACAGGTCAGACCTACAGAGCCACTCTGGGACCGGCCTTATACTGGGGAGCTTCCTGACCTAGACCTATTCATTTATTTATTCTTGACTGAAATACAGTCAACTACGAATGAATTGAAGTCGTCGAAGGAGGGAAAAAAAGACGAACTCATCTAAAGTTAAACTTAACCTTTGGGACCTGTAAAGAAAAAGAGGAGCTGGGACCCGAGAAAAAGTTCAACTTAGCCGAAGATCATCTCATGCGAGTTTAGCACAAGCGGAGCCTAGCCGACTGTTCATGGACGCCCAATCCTAGAGGCTGTGGTTGTCAGTGCCTGGGTAAAGTTTAAGTCAAAGAATTTTTTCTCTTTTTTGTACGGGGGAGGCAAGAGTTGTGTTGTCTCTATGACCATTTAAGTAGGTTTTATCTCAGTCTTTATGATCATAATATAATATGAAGTGAATATAAACCTGAACCAATAAAAATTCTTTAGAGGTATTGACTTGAATAACCAATACTCCTGTGCAGGTGTAAACATTCTGTGCAAGCGAATGTACTGTTAGATGCTATCACTTCTTTACCTCTCCTCCATTTTCCTTGTTTCCTTCTCCATTTACTGAAAACCTTTGGCTTTAATAAAAATGTCCAAGCATCATATATATTGCATCTATAGCTTTGTCTGACAATGTGCTTTTGATCTAAAAACTTAAAGGACAGACTAATACATTTTTAATACAAATAGTGGTGTCCGTTCAAATCATAATCTGCCAAACCGCTATATTTTGTTTAGTTTTTACCAATGTGGTATTTTATTGGTTGAGAGAAGTTGCTGAAACAAATAAAAGAAAAAAAAATCAGGGATTTTATAATCTTTCATTTTACCCCTGTGTTCGGTTTACGAGAACTCCACCACAAAAAATAAAAATTACTTATAGGGTGAGTGAGTCTGCATTCCACGCTGACCTATTAACTTGTCCTATTAAATTAGTTTTCCCTAGCCTTAAAAAGAATTTAAGCTTCCATTAACTGGTAAGCAGGGTCATGTGGAAATGGACTTCTTCTCCTGAAAATCGTTGCAGGTTATTTTGGCAGATATATTTAGAACCCACTGTTAGATTTTATACAGATATATACTATGGCACACAGCAAAAGCAGGTTCCCATGATGGACACCACCTTTGTTAAAATGGAGGAAAAATGCCCCTATCAAGAGACAACTCAGATTACTTTGGAGGCAGGCTTCTGACCCTGCCTGTCAAGGCCAGCCAGGGTTAAGAGGGATACAACAACTGAGGAGAAAGACCTAGATACATGAATACAATAAAAATGTTCTCCCTAATTGGATAATCAAACTCGGGTCCCTTGCATGCAGCAGAGAAGTGTCTAACCTCTACAACACAGACACTGGTATGACTTGAACTTTTAAAAATGAAACAATAATGTCCACATGCTTGACTACCGTGAAAGGAAAGCAAAAAATAGAGGGTCTTAAAGGGGAGTCAGTACTCAGTAGGTGAGGTGTTCTCCTGTCAATCTTGAGGTCTCGAATTCGATCCCTGGCAGGGCCAAAAATCATTATTCTCATGATTTCTACACCCCTGATCCAAAGGTAGATAGAATCAAGCCCCTAGTGTTCTGAGTAAAACGAAAAATTATGAAAATTTTCGAGGTCCTGTAAGATCCCTTGTCAATATAGTTGGACAAAGTAGGCCAAAGTTCAAAATTAATTCCAACCCAAAACTGAAGCTATTCTGTCAGTCAGTAAACTTAACAAAAATATCATGATGATTCTGCGTTTTATGTGTAGAGATAAATAGCCATGATGTAACAGAAAACCAACTGCACTGCAAGATGAAGATTGTACCGTCAATTACCCCCTGAGCTCCAGCAGGGTTATGATGGTTATGATAAGAAGAAGGATTGTTCAGAACATAAAATTAATTAGACTATATCTCTGTATTGAATACAGAGGTAGAAAAAAACTCCTTTCCTGTTCTCACGACTAAAACAAGCATATATATAATAAAAAAAAGAAACCCTCTGTAAAAAGGCAACAATTTTAAAAATCTTTTTCTTAAAATACGAGAATTAAATCAGCTTGGTAGGTCACAGTGGACATTGACATTTATACAACTCCACAAAATTAATGCCTGAACTATTTTAAGTTATTGTCATAAATCTCAACTGAAACTGAATCCTCCAGCATGCGAGGAATGACAGTCAAAGTCAATATAATAGCAGTGACGCATTAATATTTAACGTCAGATTAAAGCAAAATATTTACTGTTTTACATGACACAGTTGGGTTTGTCCTATTATGGTTATTATGATTATGGTTGCCCCAGTTGAGTATAGATTTTCAGCCATTTCAACTAGGATCCATTACCACTTTTTCAGTTTGCTTGGTCATACTTTTTATTACAGACAGCAAACTAGCCAGCCAATACAAAATTGTATGATGAAATGTGGCTGAAATATAAATTCATATGATGTAACAAAAATAATATATCCTATTTGTACAGCGGCAAATTCCTGCTCAACAGTAAGCTCTCTATAGATGCATGTGCTTTACAATCTTACTATTACCTCAGCAGACCAGATAGCATTATAATAAAACAATCTCAACTTCTTAAGTATACACACAATGCAAGCTGCCATTTTACAGGCAAAACACTAACATAATGCTGACAAAAGCCTTCACTGTCTACGTCCTGGTAGCCTACCCATTCCCACCTGGGTGAAGTGACGGAAAAATTCATGTAAAGTGCCTTTCCCAAGGACACAACGTCAAGCCCGCAGCTCAAACCCCCGAACTCGTCCCGGTGGCCTTACCACTAGCCTTCCGACACCAAATGTAGCGTGTTATATATATATATATATATATATATATATATATATATATATATATATATATATATATATATATATCGTATAATCTTTCCCTATTTTCCCCTTGAGCATCACAGCAGCCTAGACGCCGAGAGTCAAAAGAATGGATGTTCTAATCAAAGAAGCTTAATAGAGTTTTGCTTATAAATTCTAATACTTACATTATACCTCTGTAAAAACATTGGGGCAAATTAATGTAAATACTTGTGATATTTTTCCGATAAAGAGTCCAGCAGTCCCCGCTTTTCCAACACTTCCCTGCAGAACAATTTGGCATAGTAACGTTGTCCGGTATCACACAGACATGTGACCACCGTGTGTCCGGGACCCATCTGTTTTGCCAGCTGATATGCAGAGAAAACATTCAGTCCAGTCGATGCCCCCACAAAAAAGCCTTCCTCGTCCAAAAGTCTGAAAGTCATGTTGAGTAGATCAGGCTCCATAATCGGCCATGCATCGTCCACGGGTGCCCCTTTCAGATTTTCTGTCAGACGCCCTTGCCCAATTCCTTCCGTGATGGAATCGCCAGGAGTTCTCTCGAACTTGCCGTGTTTGAAGTAGTTATAGAGGACACTGCCTTGAGGATCGGCCAATACCACCTGTATTTTGGGGTTTTTCTCTTTCAAGAAAATGCCAACACCAGCTAGGGTGCCTCCAGTTCCTGTGCTAAATGTCACAGCGTCAACCTTGCCGTTAGTTTCTTCCCAGATTTCGGGTCCTGTCGTCTCAATGTGAGCCTGGCGATTTGCTCGATTGTCAAACTGATTTGTCCAGACTGCATTCTCGATGCTGTCTGCAAACCTTTTAGCTTGGTGGTTGTAGTTGTTGGGGTCATCCCATGGCACTACAGGGACAGGCCTTACATCAGCACCTAGGGTTTTCAGCAAATCTATTTTCTCCTGAGACTGGTTATTGGGCATGTAAATAACACACTTAAAACCCATAGATAGACACATGTGGGCCAAACCAATACCGGTATTACCTGCAGTGCCTTCCACCACAGTGCCACCTGGTTTAAGCTGGCCATTGTTTAGGGCTTCTCGGATAAGAAAATAAGCAGCACGATCTTTTACAGAACCCCCTCCATTGCACATCTCCGCCTTCGCAAGGATGTCGCAGCCGGTTTCATCGCTGATTTTGTTTAGTCGAACCATGGGTGTCCGACCAACCATACCAACTAAACCATGTCTGATTACGTTACTTGATGAATATCTCTTGAATAAAGAAATAGAAGTCCAAAACCTCACCGTAAATTGCGAATTCATGTTATAAACAAACTTGCACAGTCACCGTCAAGAAACAAGTTCATTAATTAGACCTCACACCTCTTCTCTCTGGCATTGGTGACTCTGCCAACTGCCTGCTAGCCTGTTGTTGTGTTGTTTGCAGCAGTAGCTGGATCTTCGTTTACCTTTGCTGGAGGAAGGAAGGAAGGAAGGCAAATGATGACCTCTCTGCTCTTTGCTAGCTTTTTGAACTTTGACCTAATATTAAGGACAATAGAAGCCGTTCCGCTACTAGGCTGTTTTTCAAAAGGCTTGATAAAAGAACATGTACGTTATTTGTTGAATATCGTTTCTGTCGCATATTATGCACGTGAATGATATTATTATGCAGTACACTTGTCTTTATTGCATTAAATAATGACGAAATTATTTGAATAACAAAGACATAGATTTAGTACCCAAATACATGTATCTAATATTAATCAGCTCCTTTCAGCTTTCAGATTGCTATAGCACTGCTCTATAGACCCACAGCTAGATCTAATAGTTTAAACAAAAACCTGTGGAGATCAAGTTTTCATTTCTTATTTTTAATTCAAACCATTATTATTATAGACTATGAAAAGCTTTCTTTTAGTAATCTAGTTGTTTGTCAATATTCTTTTAAATATCTAATAGTTTAATTATTTCGGGGACATAAATTCAACACGCTCAAGGCAGTGATATGCTCAGAGTCACTTCCTTATAGTAATATTATATAATAGTGCACGCATTATTATTAGGCCTACTGTCCAGTGAGAATGGAAGACTCTTTCCGAGGCGTTTTACAAAGCGCTTAGCTACGGAACAGAATACACGTTCCAAAACATTGATTTTTATAAAAGTAGAAGGTAAATGCATAATGAAACAAAGCGTAACACACTCCTGGTTCAAAACGAAAGCTGTAAACTGCTTTCTACAAATGTTTAATAATTAAATTTCCTGGCTGGAAATGGAGAGGGGGTTGGGGGGGGGGGGGGGGGGGTCATAAGTTGTAAAGAAGGTTTTTAGAATGTTTGCACGAAATCTGACTCTCTACACTGATTGTCGTTGAAATCTAGCTCAATTTTCTATGGTCGATATCAGTCAAAATTCAGTAGGCCTACTTCGTACACCAGAGGCATGAAACATCTCGTTTAGAGAGATACTTCGATATATATTACAAAGTGCATATATTGGAGCATTCTTTCAAGCCAGGACCAAACCTCTTTGGACAGAACATAATAATATGCATTGCCGTATGGACGCAATCCAACCCCCCACAAAAAATCAACCAAAAAAACAACCAACGACGAAAAAACCCCAACAAAAAACAAAACAAAAACAAAAACAAAAACAAAAACAAAACAAAAACAAAACAAAAAAGAACGAAACAAGAAGCCAACACAAACAAAAAAACAACAAAACAAAACAATCAAAACAACAACAACAACAACAACAACCCCCAAAGAAAAAACAACAACAAATAAACAATCCAAACAAAACAAAACAGAACCTCCCCCCCCAAAAAAAAAGAGAAAAAAAAAGAAGTTCAGCAAAAAGAAGTTTCGCTTTGTTGGTTTGTTGAGTAAAGGAGAAGCACATCAACACAATAATAATAATGGCCATTAGTGCAGGGGGAATGTAAGACAGACAGACAGACATGATCATGATCATGATCGTTATTTTCATTATCATTATCATCATTGAATTATTATTATTATTATTATTATTATTATTATTATTATTATTATTATTATTATTATTATTATTATTATTATTATTATTATTATTATTATTATTATTATTTTTATTTTTTAAATTTTTAAATTTTAAATTATTATTATTATTATTATTATTATTATTATTATTATTATTATTATTATTATTATTTTATTGTCAGTACGTTATGGTGTTGCATGTTGGAATACTAAAACTTATTTTTTTAAAATCAATTCAATCCAGCCCGTTAATTGTGTATATCATAGTGGTTATTGCTTCAAAGTTTCAGTTCGAAGAAGACCCTAGAAGTATGTTTCGTCAGCGGGGATGCCAAATTAGAATAGAGTAAGCTTTCAGTCTGTTTGCTGAAATTCTGTATTCCATTCAGTCCGAGTTGGCTGTCAGGGGCAAGCTCAAGCAGTCTGCTTTCTAATTTGATCACATCGTGTCGATGGAGCCTGAAACGTTTTCAATAATAAATCTTGTTTTTATGCGTCCTGTCGGAGACTTGTTGATTGTATTATAGACCTACAGATAAAGCATATTATAATGCTGTGTGGCGATGGATGACATTTGTTTTACAATATTAATGCTTATCTTTAAGTCTTTATATAAAAAGCAGAATACATAGAGCACGTGCTTGTGTCTCTGTAGACTACTACCAAATGATTGATCATCATTATGCCTTTACATGTATTATGTTTTGATGCACTTGTTATTTATAGTAAAAATGCAATTAATTATACTTTCAATATTTTAAAGTTTCATTTTCAAATATTATGCTCTGTTTGTACTAAGTACAAGTAGATCTATTTTATTTTTCTCCCGCTTATTCCAGCTGATCAGTATGTTGTCAAAAGGTTAGGCTCTTTGTCGTAGTTTGATGAAGAAGTGTGTCGACTGCCAAATGATTGATCATCATTATGACTATAGATCTACCTGTATTATGCTTTGATGCACTTATTGTTGTTTGTAGTATAAAAAAAAGGCAATTACATGTAATTATACTTTCCATATTTTAAAGTTTCATTGTTAAATTATTATGCTCTGTTTGTACATGCAGATCTATTTTAATTAATTTAATTAATTTTTTTTTCACTCATTCCAGCTGGTCAGCATGTTGTCAAAAGGTTAGACTCTTTGTCGTAGTTTGATGAAGAAGTGAGTTCTATTTTCGATTCTCAATTGCGAAAGACCAATCTTATAAAATTATCGAGTAACTTCGTTTGTCTGCGTATAGGGCCCTATTTTATGTGTTTCACATGGCCCAAGAGGTTAGGTCAAAGCAACCTCAGGGTCGACAGGCGAATGCTTTTGTTATCTGTTGGTCTTCTGAGCCCCTGACCTGACCCCATTGATTATAGCGTCCGAAATGTCACCCCCACCCTGTACGTTCTTATACTACCGTTCTCGGACCGTCTTGCCTCCACCTTTTCTACTTCCACCCCC